TTGATACCATTTGAACAGTGAAAGATTGTATACTTCTGAACAAATGTGTAATCTGTTAAAAAAAAAATCTTCATTTTCGTTAACCAGCTGTCGCACCCCTACGAACGACAACCCTCAGAAGTCGAAACTTGTGAGAGCTAAGGATTAACGAGGTCTTACCTTTCAACGTGTGATTCCTAACACGGGTTGGACGGTAGCAAGTGAAAATCGATCGTTCAAACTGGAGCTTGAACCAACACGGCAGTCATTTCGAGTGAGTTAACAAAGCACCCACGTCGAACCGCCTGGCTGCCGACCGGATAGCTGTATTGTAATTTTTCACCTGCACAATACATTTCAACACGCGTTCTATGTTCTGTTTTGGCCCATCGGCTGATATGAAAAATTTTTCCTCTTTAATCACGATTTCAAAAGGGTATTTGGAGTTAATTGAACCACACACAATTGACTATTTGAACCGTAATCAAACCGTAATTATTCAGTGACAAAATTAAAAGAAAGCTATTTATTCATCGTCGATACCATATGCTAAATATATTAATATTCATTGGAGCTTGCAGCATAACCAAAGTAATTTGCATTAGAGCAGGTCAGTTCTGATGGTGTTGAATTAATGACGCTAAATCTTTTGAAATTTGATTCTATTAATTGGCATAATTTTCGTTAAATCATAGTTGTTTCACGAGATATAGTAATTTTCACAGAAATATTGAGTAAGAGTTTTGTAATATGGTTCCATTTACCTGGTAGTTATCCCATGCCTGTTCAGACAAAGAACTGGATTGTTCTTCGCCGTTGTTCAAGCTGTTTTTTCCAGGACTCCCTGCTTTCAAATCTCCATATCGAGTCTTGCCGCCATATCTAAAGTTTAGTGCCCTGAAAATATTGTAAAATCAAACACTGCAATTATACTGCCTTATTTAATTACTTTCTATTATTGTCTTCTTCGCTATCTCCACCACTGGTCGTGGATGTTTCGCAGTATACGCCCTGTATGCTGATCTGGCCAGTGAGAATGTTATCAGTTGAATTCCTGTCGTTATTGCTCGCTTTTGTATTGCATCCAGGAAAAGAACCAGATTTAATAAGGTGTACTCTGTTTTTCTGGACAACTGGACTGTAGAGAAGGTGCGTGTCTGATTTTCCAAACTGTACAAAAATTATGTTTCAAGTGATGATACCAATTCCCATTTTCATTATACTATTAAATAAACTGAAACATTCTTTGGTCCAAATATGTTTTATGTAAAATCAATACGAGGTGTGGAAAGTTCAACTGAAATGAATTCTGTGAAAAGTAACCAATGCTTTTTTGAAAATATAAGAAAACGGCAACTCACTCCATTGATACGTGGTATCCTTCTGGCATCAGTACTAATAAGACACAAGTGAAAAGGAAGTGTCTAGGTACACAATGAAAAATAACTGATAACTGACATCCTCCTGGAGTTGTGTAGGTGCCGAATGTCGACTCGGCGGGTCAAATTATAGACTAAACAGACTTTCCTGAGGTTTCTATTACGTGGTAACTTTTCGGGGCGAACTTTTTTAGTTTGCCTTTTTATTATAGATATATATATTCATTTCACGGATTGTTTGTGGAAGGTTGAAAAACCAAAAACATCGAGAAATAGTACCCTTCGGCGAAATAACTGTTCAACTGAGTGTAATTGGGAGATTTTCATTATGTATAGTTTGTGAACAGGGCGATGGAAACGTGATATTGAAGTGGATCATGCGATAATATTGAATCCTATCCCCCCCATGCCCCCTCCCGGGTTGATTGCCCTGAGTTGAAATCTTCCCCGCACGGTTAATATGTGCACAACTTCCCATCTCGTCCAACCACTGCCGCTCCTCCGGAGCGGTCCTCAACTTACTGATGGGCACTTCAGCAAGATTGACATCTGACCTTCTTTGGTCGAAAGTCAGCCTCTAGGTGCTTT